AGCTTAATTTCAATTTCTAATCATCCTATTTTGATGATCAAGCACTAAAATTTCTTATAGGAATTAGATAACTTCAAAATACCGTTGAGTCCAAAAAAATATATCTTTTAGTAGAAAATACGTATTGTAGCTCATAATATTGTTGACTCTAAAAAAAATAGACGGAGATTGGGGGAAAAGTATAAGAAGAAGAAAAAGAAATAGAAAAAAAAGGCAGAAGTAACCTTAATTAAGACACGAGATGGTACACTGACATGTTCACTGTGAGGAGGTTGAAAAAACCAATGAATTCGAATAGTTCCTATATACAAACCTTCGTGATAAACAAGAAACCTGGATGAACTAAAACCTATGCCAAACTTATTATGATTTTCGGCATTGAGGGTTAAGGAGATTACGGATGAAACTAACAGTGTTACATTAGAACGATCGTCAGTATTGTAAAAATTTATTTTAGCCTCTCGAACAGAGAAAACAGGTTTCTGGGGTCTAATAATGAGGATCACAAAAAATGCGGCTAATCCAACCACCATGCATATGATCAAAAGGCAGATAAGCAGAAAGAAACAACATTTCTTGAAAGAAAACCCATTCATTGCAAATTATCGTTCTTCAGTTTGGGCTAATTAACCCATGTGTAATTAGTGCGTCTGTTTGATTCGTTTAGTACTATTTCAACGTGAAGGATGAATCGGATGTCTTTCTTTGACAGTAGCACTCAGTTATTCCTTTCTAATTAATTATCGATACTAAAACCTTTGGAGCAGAAAACCAGTGCATAAAGCAACCTTTTTATTTGTTTAAGCAGATTATCAAAAACTGGACTAGTAAGATACTCAAGATTCAAGACAAGGATGGCTTCCCTCCTATTATACACCTAAGAAGAATGATGAACTAGCAACACAACCTCTAACAATTCTCTCTATAATGAAATTTATATAGCTTCCACTAAACATAGTGAATTTCTGGTCAAAGCTATATTTCAATATCAGAAAGTTATATAAAAATGCCGCATGAGCACCAAAAAATTGCTAAGGAATCCAAACTATTAAACAATAGCCTAATCAAATTTAATTCCTCAGAGTTATATATTTATTATTTACCAGTAACCATTAGTATGCAAAATACGTTTAAAAAATAGAAAATGTGTTGCTACGGTCGTGTACCAAATCTTGAATCAACTAAAGGGGCCAATTTATACACCATACATAACGACTGGCATGGAATCAAACGCTGTTATAATAGATGAGCAATAGATTTTGAGCAAAGATTTTTAAACATCCTATTTTTCTAAACATCTAATCAATACCCATCATCTATTTTTATCTCTCTTTTTCAATCATATTATATCTTTTATCATATTTATACTTTTTTTAAATGTCTATAGCTAAGTGTCAACTAGTATAGCCGAGTAACATTACTTATAGCTAAGTAACATTAAACATGAGTAGTAGATAATGGTTAAAACAAGTTAAGCAATCTCCTCGAAGGGATTTAATTTGTTTGACATCATTTATTTAATGGAAAGGTAAAATTCAAAACGTATAAAAAAAACATTTCATTGAAATTTATTTTTCTTTATATCTTATCATATTATTTAGAGAGTTGGAGTTAATAAAATGAGGTGTTTCACTCAACTTGACTTAGTCAGATCAATGTATAAACATGAGTCAATCTATCTTAATTGGAACTTCTATTGATTTATCATTTTTTGGCCTACTCTTACTTTGAATTGGGTCACTAGACCACTAGATTAAATTAATCTTAATTAAAAATAAAATAAAAAATATAATTCCAAGTTAAATATACAACAAGATTATATTTAAAAGTTATGGTATTATTTTGTGAGTAATTATATAATTGTTTCTTGTCATAAATAAATATTTATTATCATTTTTCCTTTTAGCTTGCCAAAATGTCACTCCAAACCCATCATTTTCAATTGTTTGTTTAACTCAAGATCTCATTCACATTGTGTTTGGTAGGTATGAAATTCTGACGAAATACAATGAAGAGAGGAATAAGGCAATAGAAACTTTGTTATTCTTTAGTTAATACGAGTTGTGTCTGATAAAAAATTGACAAACGTGAGTCCCTCATTTATAAATTTTTCTCAAATTTGAGAGGAAACAACAAAGAGAAAGGGGGGCTTATTTTTTGTTACACTTTTATCCCCGTCAAAACTTTTCTCTCATCCAAATATGAAATGTGGATGAAACAAAGTTAAAGTTCTCTCATTCAAATAGTTGTGTTGCTTTTATTTAAATGAGCTTACATTTTTTTGGGTGTTATTCGAATGTATATGCAAAAGACTTTTACTTTTATTTGAATACTTTAGGATACATTCAAATACACTATTAGTCAAATTAAATATATTTATTTAATTTTAAAACAAAACTATTAATAATGAATAGTTAGTTAAGTTTATTTGAATTTATATGTTATTCCAATTCATGTTATTTGAATGTTATTTATATGTTATTCGAATTCAACTACCTTCTTTATTTGAATAAGAAACATTTTAGTGAAATATTTATTTGATTGTATTTGAATAACAAAACATGCATATTATTCTAATACAACCAAATAAATAAGTTTGGTTTATTCAAATAAAAAATGAATTTAATCGAATAAAAATAATAAATATACGTAACTTGAAAGGGTAAGATTATAATTTTTCTTTAACTATAATTTCTTTCTTCTCTATCCATTCAAACTAAATAACTTTATAATATCATTTCTCTTTTATTTTTTACCTATTTCTCTCGAGGTAAACAAACTCATTTCCATCCTATTTCTACTTACTTATTTCTCTCTCCTATTTCTCTTCACCCTATTTTTCATCTATTGCTCTCCTCACAACCAAGCACAATGTCATTGTTAAGTTTTAGAGTAAATTATGGTGACACTTCCTCAAAATTCATGAAATTACATTGACATCCTGTCTTTTTACATGACATGAGAGCTTTTTCAATTATTTTTTTGTTAATATTTTTGGATAAATGTGGCTCTAGAATAATAAATTTCTCTATGCTCTTTGCTCGAAGAAAATGAAACCTATTGTCAACTAATATTTATACTATCATTACTCCTATAATCTACCATAAAAAGGTTACAAGAAAACAATAGAAAAGATAAACACAAACATTAATATTTCTTATTGATGTCTTATAGGCTAAAGGAAATATATATTTATAATAGCTACTGAAGATGATCCTATACGTGTCATCATCCTATTTTAGATAATATAAAATAATATTAAAATTAAATACAATAGTATTCTAATATTCTAAGACCATCCTATAATATTTTTATGCCATTTAATTTTCTTTCTTTTTGGCCTAAAGCCCATGCTAACATTACCAACAGCTCCACGTAGAACCTTGTCCTCAAGGTTCTAAGATAAATTTGAACCAATGAAAAAGTATCTATTAGATGTCTTAGTAAAAGGTAGGGCTAATTTTGACTGAACCATAGACCAGGCTAGGGGTAATGGGTTGTGGGAAACCAAAAGTTTAGCAAATAGAAAATTTTGAACGAGGGTTGGGTTGGAAAACATGCAAGAGGTGGAGCAATGCATCTTCATACAAATTAAATCTTTTAAGAGAGGCCACTTGCAGAATTTTGGGACCAAAATTTTTCTCACCATGTGTGCTCATTTTAGGCGAGATATGGGGCTTTGAAAAGGGTATGATGGGTTTTGTGAAGGTAATTGGTTGAGAAAAAAAATTAGAGTTGTCGAATTTTTTGTTGAACAACTTATATTGAAATATGTTGTTAGGGTTGGATTGTATGGGGTTGAACTTGGAGGTAAGGATAAGAATGAATTTGATACTAAAGTTAGGGCCGAACATAAGCCTACTAGTAGTGCAAAACTACATATTGTTAATATGTGTAGTAATGTTGATATTCTTGTTGGTATGGATCATGTCCGGTGCATTGTTGGTAATATTGTTGATTTTGTTGGTATGGAGCTTGTCCATGGTATTGTTGGTAGTTTTGGTGATATTGTACCTACTACTGATACAAATGTTCTGCAGTTCGATGAACAAAAGCTTGAGTTTGGGAAGTAAAGTTGTTATGCGTGTTTTGCAAAAAAGTGTACCATGTGTCATCCAAACAGCATTGTTGATTAGTCTTCATTTGTAAAACTTCCAATTCCTCAACGAGGATATGGAGGCAGTCTTCTATTGTGGCTAGTGAGGGAAGTGAGTGTGGGAAGGAGTAAGCTCATGAAAGCACCATTTGATAGAAAATTAATAGTTATATTATCACTACTCCTATAATCTACCATAAAAAGGCTACAAGAAAATTATAGAGAAGATAAACTCAGACATTGATATTTCTTATTGATGTCCCATAAGCTAAAGGAAATACATATTTATAACCTAATAACTACTAAAGATGACCCTACATGTGTCATCATCCTATTTTAGAGAATATAAAATAACATTAAAATTAAATACAATAATATTCTAATATTCTAAGACCATCATATAAATCTTTGTGCTATTTAATTTTCTTTCTTTTGGACCTAAAGCCCATGCTTACAGTGAATCTGGTAAGTTGGTTAGGTTAGACCTTGTATCCTCCACGAAAACACGGCCAATTTTTTTCCGTATCTCCTAAATAACAATAGGTAGTAGGATCCCTAATCCCATGTTGAATCACGACCTGGTCCAAACCTAACCCTTCTAATCAAAGGAATTAAACTCTGATCAATGCACACCTATCCTAAATTTCCTTACCAGGGCACCTAAATATCTTCCCAATTCGTCTCAAACTTCGATGTTTACCATATGTCTAATAAAAAATACAACACATCTTTTAATAATTATTATCATATTTGTCCTATTAGTTGAAATTTTAAGTAAAACTCAATAATATGTGGCCCAATTCCTATTCAGCGAATCATATTTGATAACACTCCTATATAAATTTCAACCAATAGCATCCTTGTGTAGCAGGCTAATAGCATTGTAAGATGAACAAAGTTTAAATTATCAGCAACCAAAACTGTTTCACAGATCATATATAATCACCCTCGAACATCAACTAAGGTCTTTGACAAGGCAAAGGACACCTAAATAATTATATAGTCCCATATTTTAGATACAAGAGAATAAACTCCACACAAGCTTGAGCGAGTTAATTGTTTTAACTCCAACTTCCACACAGATGACAACCATTCCAGAAAGCAACAGAAATGGAAATAACATTCTATCTTCTTTAGACACATGCAGGGTTGTGTCCAACAAGAGAGCAATAAATGCAACAAAAACCAAAAAACAAAATTAATGAACCCTGAAGAAAAATGAAAAATAATTTGTAGCTTTATTTACATACACAGGGAGAGCAAGAAAAAGCTGCTCAGAAAACTCCGCCAGCCATGGAAGGAATGTCATCAAAGCTCCAAAGGTTCATCAGGTTTCCACCATCCTGAGTTGTGTCACAAGACAGAAAGGAGTCCAATGAAGTATCATCCCAGTTCCCTTCAAGATAAGGCATCTGAAAGAACTTCAACTGAGATTCAATATCCACAAGCTCCTCAGAGAGTGTCTTTGCAGAATTATCTTGCATAGATACCACATCCTGAGAGTTGGTCTGCATGTTATTCTGCAGGTTGGCGTCATGTACAAGATGAGATTCACAACCCAGAGGAGCAGAAAGTATGGATGGTATCTCAGGAGTCTTGGGGCCTTGTTCACTCGACCCAAGATCTGCATAATCAAATGAGTTACACAACTGATCTGAACTGAAGTAAAGGGTCACATCATCAGAAGAAGCAAGGGATGTGAGCTCATTTCCACTGCCATGGAAGGAACCCATGTTAGCATACTGGCTAACTACGGGTTTCTGTTCCACCAGATCCATAGGACAACAATAGTCTTCGTAATTTTTGCCAGCATTGAACTTGTGACTCAGATTTGGCTGAACTGTCTTCCGATACTCCTGTGGATTTACCTTGGAACGTTTTACAGAAGAACCTGGTGCCTCCTCGGGGAAATTCACCTTGGCTTTCTTGCCACGAATCCTCCGTGCTTCAGCATCATAAGCTCTTGCAGCTTCTTCTGCAGTGTTGAAGGTTCCCAGCCAGACACGAACCCCCTTTCTTGGATCCCGGATCTCAGCAGCCCATTTTCCCCACGGACGTTGACGGATTCCCCTATACTGATTCTTCCTCTTTCTCTTTGCACACTTCTCAGCTCGACCTTTGAATGCCACAGATTTTGCAGCCGGAGACCCTTCAACATAATTGGAAAAGTATACAAATCTCAGTAACAACAGAAGACATTCACAGTCATTAAACAAAGAAAATAATAAAAGAGCAATAGTAATATCATAAAACAAACACACAAGCAAATAACAATTTTGCAATCCTCCCCAGAACCCTTTGAGGATATTAGAAGTCCCAACATGGTGAAAAGGGAATTATAAAGAATGTTAAGCACAAGAGCTAATATGGACAAGAATCAAGTAAAGTTTATTTTAGTTGTTTTTTTTTTATCCATAGCAAGTACAATGAAAGCAACAGGGTTTGAATTTAAGACTATGTTGATACTCCCTTACCCCTAACACACTAGGCCACTCTAGTGGTTCTATTTTAGTTTAGTTTAGTAATGGAGATGGTTGCCATCCAAGTACCTCTATACTGATAAAGAGCAGTTGCAGAAGCGTGTTATCAAGAAACACGAACAGCTTGTAACGACAATAAAACAACACGATGAAATTAAACATTTATCATTCACTTCAACAAAATCCACAAAATCGCCCTTGAATTAAAATCAGTCGAAACTAAACTCTTGCATGAATAATGGATACACACCCACACTCCTACAAAAAAATATTCTCCCTCATTTTGTTATCAACCCAAAGACAAATTATTCAAGGGGGGGAAAAACGAGATCTGCAACTGATGAAAGAGTTTCTCGCAGATCTAAAGATAAAAAAATTCCTGTCGTGAACTCCATAGATGAAAATCACAAATTAGATTTCTTTTTAATTTGAGGGTCCAGAAAATCATATGACACGGTGATTAAAAAAAATAAATAAAATAAATAAAAATAAATAAAGTGGCAAAATGAGCAAATAGTGATAATTTTGCATAAGAAAGGAACGAAAGAGAAAGTTACGACGAGAGGAGGCAGCGAAAGCAAAGGGTTTGTCGTCGTCGTCGATGTCGAAGTCGGAATCGTCTTTAAATTCCCTGAAATCAGCCTCAAAGTCATCGTCCAAATCAGATTTCCGTGAGGTCCGCTTCTTCAAATCGGGCCACAGGTAATTGGCGGTGAGACGGCGAGAGGTGTCCGTCACCGCCGCTGGAATGAAGTCAGAGATAATAGCCCCTCCACACATTTCTCAGATTTAGAGGAAAAAGAAACATAAACAAAAGCCTCGCTTTGTGTTGAATGCAAATGATAACTTTTCTTTTACTTTCCAGGGTTTTTTAAGTTTCCGCAGCCAAAACATATTTAATTAATTGGGAAAATCTTGATGTATTTTTTAAATAACATTCCTCCTTCACTGTCTGAAAATTAATTTCTCCTATTTATTTATTTGAGTGATGTATATAACTTTTTATATAGAATAATATTATGAGTATACAATTAAGAGATAATAAATTATTAAGAGTAAATTATGTATATATTTTTTATTTTTTAAAATTATACTTAATATTTTTTTTTATAATTTAAACATACAATAAAATTCTTAAAAGTTGAATAAATATTACTTCAATCGTCTCTTATCTTAAATATGTGTAATATATTATCTGCACATGACTTTTAATAAAGATTTTCTCTTTAAAATGTTTTCATCTTTTTAGCTATTCCCCTCACCTCTTTCTCTTTAGTCTCTGCCAACTTCCTATGCACCTTCCACCTTATGACACTCATTCTATCCTAATATATAATACAATTAAATAAGGAAGAAATTTATTTACAATTCAAGTAAAAAAGGTTCACATGTAATCCACCTCTGAAGCATCAACTCAGAACACCACATAATGGCGCGAACTTTATCAATCTTCTCAGGTACCACCACACATGAACACATCGTTTACATCACTTATGACCAATGTCACACTGTTAAACACCACTTATGGCCCATGTATAATAATAAAATTGCCACTCTTGGCATTCCCTTTTAATTATCAATTATGGCCAGGGCAAATGTGTATGCAACATGCACAAATGCTCATGTCATGTCACCTTGTCCATTCATCATTTTTATCCATGTCAATGCACAATTAGATCTAGAGCCACATCTTATAACCATTCCATACCTAATCACATTTTGCACATCAACTCATCCAGATACACATCAATCATACTTATTCATACAATAATCATTATTGGACATCATACAATTCATAAACATCATCAAAATTGATCAATACAATAATATTTTAATAGTCTACACCAAGCTTCACTAGGCCACATCCAGCTCTAAGTCAAAACAGAAGGTACATAATATTTTCACGCTCGACTTCATACAACCACGCCTGACGTTAAGAGCAAACAGAGAGCACCTTGTCTCTCACACGCTCGGCATTAGTGAGTCACGCCTAATGTAAAGACAAGGCAGAAACTCGCCAAATTTGTCACGCCCATCATGATACATTACACGCCCGGTTTAACCTTATTTGAGTTTCACATTCATCAATATGAGAATGCAAGCCTGACACCTAACGCATTTTCTAGAAACGTGACATGAACAAAACATCACCAAAATTCATAAGAAATCATATAATCATCTTTTTACCGATCTAATCGGTCATAAACACTTATATTTTTTACCCAAAAACACATTATATACCTTTAACTCGTGAATTTACATACCAATTAACAATAATCAAATTACTCAAGAACCCTAACTCACAGAGACATCCCAATGAATTCAATTATCATCTAGATCATCAATTTTACCAAACAATACAACAAACACGTTCATAAATCAATATAAAACCCAATTAAATTGTCAAATGCACCGTGAGAACAAAAAATGGAAAATCTTAGGAATTTAGGGATTGCTCCTGCTGTAACGACCCGCCATGGTCTCTACACTTAGTGGAATCGCACTACTGCTAGTGAACTAAGAGAAATATTAAGCTGGATAACTCATACATACAGGTATAAATAAGAATGAAAAAAAAACTAAGTTTATGGTTATAAAATAGAACACCGTATATATACAGTCATCCAAAAAATAATATGACTCTAGTTCCAGTCAAGCACAAACGAAACCGTTACCCAAAATGGTAACTCTAACACGAGGATCAAACTCTCTGTCTCGCAGCGGTCACCTCAACTCCAAGCTAGCCCTAACCTGCTCCCATAAAGGTATGATCATCGCAGTCCATCCACATGGAAACAGAAGGGTAAGCTAGAGTTCAAAAATCAATCATACAAGTATAAAACAATAATCTATACTACACAATCATCCAACTATCAATCATATTCATAGAGTCACATCATACACTCTATCCAATACTACTCATGCATAAAATACAATCCACCAATCATGAAGTCAAACACCACACTTCATCATATTAATAATCATGCAATAAATGCATCTCATGACAGATATCAATGCATATCAATCATCTAATGCGTCGTCACGCATACACCTAGGAGATCTCCCTAACAATAGAGTTGTATAAGTGACATTCCATCCTACCGAAAACACCTCAACCGTTTTCACGCCCAATGCACCCGCTCGATCACAGCTAAATAGGATATAATTCTCACTCAGGTTTACTCGGATGATGTTACTTACACAATTGGAAGTCCAGATCTATCGTCAGGTATAGCACAGCTGGGTACAGGCTTACCACGACCTTGGCATGCATAACCAAGTCAATTGTGGAGTTCGCCCACCGACTATCCGCAAGGATCCACGCACCTTCCCGAGTACTTGGTTAAAGGAATAACCCTCGACCTCTTACCCCGCTCCAACACTAGCTAAGGACTTAGAGGAGATTCACCCAACCCAATGGCCTACCTGAGCACCACTCTCATATATCAGTGGCTTATCCAAGCACCACTCTCAAGAGACTCTATGTGAGCTCTTCTAGTTCGAAAATATTTTTCCTCTCCTCAAGTCCTAGGCTAGACACTTGTCATAAGGCATCACATGCAATTATGCATCATACATCACACATGGTCTGCCCACCATCATGATCAACAATCATACACATGTCATAAGACATCACATGCAATAATGCATCATACATCATACATTGTCTGCCCACCATCATGATCAACAATTATACACATGTCATAAGACATCACATGCAATAATGCATCATACATCATACATGGTCTACCCACCATTATGATCAATAATCATACACATATGAACATATACTCATGTCATATCATATTTAAACATTCATACGTATCATCACAAAACATACATATGAATCACACCTCACCATACATCATATATCATACATACATGATCTAAAACTTCAACTTTAAACATGCATAAGCATCAATTGAAATCAATTAATTATAAACATATTCACGCTCGGCACAATCAGCTCGCACCTGGCCTAACACCAACCCGAGAGCTCTAAGCTCTTCCACGCCCGGCGCACTCAACCTGCGCCCGACCTAAATCCCAGTCAGAGAGTTCAAAAACTCTCATCCAAACCAACAAATCTAGCCACATGCAACCACAAAAACATAATGCATAGGCTCCATACAACACAAAACAAACTCAAAATGAACATGCACCCATCTGATGCATCAAATTCACCAAAAACCCCATTTTTCCCAAATCCCCGAAAAATGAGCGAATTCTTCGATCCAGCCATGGATCCTCAACTTCATGCATCAATTGAGTGTCTAAACTCACATGCAACTTAAACAACAAACGTTCTAGCTTCCCTCACCTTAAGATTGGCTCAAAAATAGCCAATAACTGAGAAGAAGTAGAATTCCCTTCTGAAGCTCAACCCGGAACTTCAATCCTCACAAAGCAAGCTTCCTAATCTGAATTTCAAGAAAAGACAGAAGGCATTAGTGATCTAAAGGAGAAAAGGAATCATATAGAGAAATTTAGGAGAGAAAGGAGCTCACAGACTCAGAGCCCTTCTCTCTAAAACTTCTCTCTAAAAACTTCACTTTCTCCTCAACCACACAACCCCTATTTATAGAAGTTCAGGAGTGGGCAGAACGGCCTGTTCTGAATCCAGAACGGCCCGTTCTGCACCCCTTCATCACGTACAAAAATCACATGCAGAACGGCCCGTTCTAAAATCAGAACGGCCCGTTCTGGGACTCATCCAGAACGACCCGTTCTCCAAGTAGAACGACCCGTACTCCTTTCATAACGATCCATTTTGGGATTTGGAATGGCCCGTTCTCCCTCCAGAACGGCCCGTTCTCAACTACGATTTTCAGGTCAATTTAGTAGTTTGGAACGGCCCGTTCCAGTTTCAGAACGACCCGTTCTGGACTACTAAATCACTCATATTGGACTTTTGGGCTTTTTGAAATAACTTACTACGTTACACCTGCTACCCATCCCCTATTGTAATCCCACATATGGTTGATTAACACATTTCCCTCCCTTGTATCTTATTGTGATGATTTGAAGCAGTTTGATGTAGTTTTGAGACGATATGAGCACTTTTCCTTAGAGCTTATTCCTTCTCTCTCAGTTGTTCTAAAATGCAAAAATGAAATAAAATTAGTTTTTATTAAAAATTATGAATATATATATTTAACATCAAGAATAAATTTTGATAAATAAATGTGTTCTACCTCTTTAACTTTCAACAATCATTTATTATCAATTATTATTATGAGCATTGATGTATAAATTTTGATATAAAATAATATATCTATTTATTAAATATTATGAATATATATATATATATATTTGATATAAAATAATATATATATTTATTATATATTATGTATATATATATATATATATATATATATATATATATAATTTATCTTTTCTTAAAGTTTCAATTATGATTTATTATAATAATTATTAGTATTAGTGTATAAAGTTTTATATTTTGAATTCTTACCCCTCTCATAACAATGCATAGTAAGTAATAAGAATAATAAAAATTGATACTACATTTTTTTAATATCAATTAAAATAACTATTGATATTAATATGTATAATTTTGTTATAAGTATATCGTAATAAAAGACCAAAGAGTATTATTTAGTAGTGAGTCAAAATTAATCTAGGCAATTTCTAATCAAATTAAGTAAATTGTTATGTTTAATTTCTGTTTTAGTTTTCTGTGTATAATGATAAATATAGTCATTATTTTGCGATGATGATCGAATTAAGTTATTTTATTATAATAATTAATGTTAATAAATAATATTATTAAAATAATTTTTTATTTTGAATAATGTTACTTATTAATTTAATCTGTTGAAAATTTAAAGCTTAAATATGATTTTAGT